GCTTGGTGGATACCAACGTCGCTGAAGAAGCCATTTCTTGTACAAACCATACCTCTAATAATAAAAAGTGTGGTAACCACACCCGGTTTACATCAAAATCAGTATCCTAAGCCCACCTGGGAGTCAAGGTCTTGGATCCTAACTCCCCAAACAGGGGAAGGCAGACATCTAAGCAGACACGTACAACGGAATTGTCTCCCATTAACAAGCAAGAACATGCTACCAACACGAGGGTCTTCAGACCCTCTTTTGGAAAAGTCCTCAAGAATCCATGCGCACTTGAAAGGGTTCAATGTCTACTAAAACACATGAATGGGAGGAAAAAGAAAAATACTTGCAAAATACACTGCCTTGTCATTTTCCTCTTTTCTAGGACCGTTCTCATTAACTGAATCATTAGTGAACTCTGCATGTGCGTGCTTACACTGGAGTTCAAACAGCAGCTGTAGAAGGTCCCTCAAAGTCTAATAAACTTAAATGAAGGATGAATAGAAATCCAAATGTGGCCTAAGAAAGGTTTCTAAAATGCTTTTCCTAGTTTACAACATAGAATAAATTGATCTTGGATATATTAGCCAAAGCAGGCTTTAGTCAAAAGCCGTGTATGCCACCACATTATCAGAGCTCCGCTTTGTCATTTGCCTGTTTCTTTTCAGAGCAGGAGAGGGGCAGCAGATTAATTTCCCTTTTATCTTAGGTATCCCATTTTTTATACAGACTCAAAAGCATCAGAGAACGTCCCAAATATTTATTGTACCTCTGTTGACGAGCTTCCACTCCTTGTAAAATTAAGACAGTTTTTCAATGTGATTTTTCTCCCAACTCAGAGATCACGACCGCCCTGGGAACCGAGCCCTAGCCAAGTACCACGATCATTAAAATATCCTTTGTATGGTCTCAGGCCATCAGAAGCCCCCCACCCAAGTGAATAGTTAAGATTACAGCACTCCTAAAAGAACGAGTACAAAAGTCTCAAAGCAAAAAGCTGCAAATAAACATTCTTTCCTTTACTGCCTTCACTGACAGCTAATGATTATAGCTCAAGACACTCCAAAGCTTAACCCATCCGGTCCTCCCTAAAAGGTTCTTCTCTCCAAACAACCATTGGGGGCGTGGGGGGAGGTGGGAAGGGGGGGGGAAACCAAGGAAAATTTCTCTCAATTGACCTGGACCTACACATCCTCTAACTTTAAATGGAAAGCCACACTGAATCCACAGTGCCACACTTCAAAGCCTTTCTAAACAACACGTTGGGATCTACACATCCTGCTGCTTGGAGCTGCAATAGAGTGTAGTAGTTTCTCACCCTACGAACTTAGGTCCAGGCAGTCTGTTTTCATACTGCAACACCACCTCACGTACTCCTGCTTGAGTAGCAGCTATACACACAAGCCAAGCTTTACCCTTAGATGATTCCACCTTCTGATATTCAACCCTTGATGTCAACAAGTAAAATTGAAAAGGGGAGAGACTTACTTTCTGTGGATATTTTGTTGCTCTCTGAGACCATAAGCTTTTCTAAAGGGCCTTACTTCCAAGAAAGGCTTTAGAAAAGATGGATCACATCCATTTCTAACTGGTAGATATTGTGGTTATTCAGATTAAAATTCAGTGGTCAATTTGGACATGAAATGGTTAACCTGATATGGCACCTCTGAGCAAGCCACCTTAGAACCTCAGTTTATATCTGCCCCTTAAATCTCATGCCAGAGGAGTAAACTAGAAGTGTGTACCACAAAACTAGGGCCAAGCTTTATTTGCAGCAGCTGTGAATTTCCCTCCATCCAGTGAATCCCCCTACTCCACCCCCCAATCTCCAAAGCCGAGTACATTACGCTTTATTTTTACTGTTTTCCAGCTTCCTGTCTGCCACTGCACTGTTACGAACACTGAAGTTGCTCTATTTTTCTTCTGAGTTCTCAAGCAATGGGTTAAAGTTCTTTTGGCACTTTTCTTAAGAGGAGGAATTTTTCAAAGTCTTTTGTTAAAATTTCCTTGTCCTGTTTTTAAGGCAGGGTGTGCCCTTTGCCACTTAAACACAAATCAAAAGAATTTCACTGGTAGCGTGCGCATAAAGCTCATAAATCACTTTTAGAAGGCCATAAAACAAAATTATCTACAAAAATCTAGCACACCAAGGAAGCAGACTCATGGTTATTCAATAACTATAACATCGAACACTACTTCCCTTTTGCCACAGATCCAGCCTGACAGAGTCATTTATCCGTAACCGGTTCATAACGTCTGTATAAATGAAACCCCCTTTCCAGGCTTGTACAACCCGTTTGACTAGTCTTCCACCCCGCTTAGAGACAGGACATTTAAAAGCGAATAGCCCAATATTCATTTTTTGAAGCAAGTAGCCTTATGTTACACTCTTAAGAAGCCCACGAAACACCCTTATCTGTTTTGAGATTTTACAGGGTTAAGTAAAATAGCAGAGAACAGCATTTTGGAACTCTCTGCCATCTGAAGTCTATTACTTTGTTTGAAAATTAGGAAAATACACTCACTGCTCAAAGAGAAGCATTTAATAATCTACTAGCTCTTACAAATACTAGAGATGATGCTGGCATGGCTAGTAAAGCTGCCACTTTTGACAACGCTTCCTTGCCAGGCACTGCAATCTACTCAGCATATGGAGATGCCTATCAATGTGCCACACTGAACGGCTACTGAAACACACACAGCCCGGGTGTTTTGGCCAGGAAAACAGTCTGCTCAGATAGAAGAATGGGTAAACTGACAATACCTATTAATTTACGACAGAAAAAGGTAAAAAAAAGATTCACCACTCATCAGCAGCACACAAGAAAGTACTGCAGGGTTGGTAAGTAAGACAATACAGAGCAGACCTAAAAAATGTGAGCAACAAATGCTTCTGCCTAAAGGCTAGACAAAATGACAAGTTTTACTCCTCCTTCCACAACTTTCAGAAACACTGAATAAATACTACCAGGTTAAATCTACTCCTCCTTTCCTCAAAGCTGTGCAGACCCAGCCCCAATAACACCGCAATTTAAGTAAAATCAAATGCCTCATGCAAAGACGGGCTCTTCAGCAACCTTCCTTAGGAGTATTTCACAAGCCAATACCTTCCTGATGGCACAGTCCTGACACGTAGTGCTAACTGATCTCCAGTTCCACCTACCCTGCCACACGTGCAACCCACCTACAATGTCTCCACCGAGTTCCTACTCTGAAACACAAATAATTTCTCCCTTCTCCAATATTTTTCTATGTATTTTATATATCACACCTATAAATACTGCAGAGGGGGTAAAATATGCATGTTTTTATTTTGAACCTAACTGGAAAAATCAAACAGATTTCTCTGCTTTCTTTGCTTATCTCCCTTTTCACTAATAGAAAAAGTCCAAGTTACATGTATCCATTATGTAAATACTGGAAGCCTTTTATCTCTAGCACTGAAACTGGGAGGTAGTATCTTTAAAGAAACTTTAATACAACATCTTATCCACGTTGCATTAATATCCCCTGCCTTATATCAGAATAGCATGAAACTATACTAGACCTTTAGCTTTTGGTGTGTGTGGGATTGATCTAATTTGATTAGGATGCAAAAAGGGTAACGGGATGAATACCAAAGTCATACCTGTATTACAGCCTCCAGATTACAACATATGCCACTATAAGATGTATTTGGAGACAACAATGGGGCCATGGAAAAAGCCTCAAGACTGTTGAAATTGAGTGGGGGAGAGGGAAGGGGAAGAGCAGTAGAAAAACAGCAACGCATTTATTGTACCCAGTTTGTATTGATTCAAGCACCAGAAGCCACTAACAGCAGCCCTCATTATAGGAAGGAACACAAAGGGTTTAAAAATAAAAATAGCATACTAACATTTTCAGTCCAACAATCCCAAATGATCGACTATCATTAGTCAACTGTGCTTTCAAAAGCTTTATCATTCAACCTGCTGAGACCCTGCCATTTGTTTTTCAGGTTCAGTTACAGAGGCAAAGGCTCCAGCAGGCCACCAATATCAAATGAGACTGCAAGTCCTGTGGCCTGTATAGACCACTGCAACTCTCCAGAAAGCTCAGATATACAAACTGTCCAGGTTCACTGCAATATTTGAAATATATATTCTGTAATTCAAATGACAAGACTGAGAAAGCACCTACTTACTGAGGAACTGAATTACAGCACAGGAAGGACAAACACATGCCCACACGGCACAACTATGCTCGTAGAGGATAAGAACAGGCTCTTGCACCTTTTTTAATACTCTGCTGGCACTTCCCTGTCTGACAGAAAGGCACCAAAAGCCTCAGTGGGGCCAAAAGCACTGACTCTCCTACTCCAGACAACAACGATAACAAAAAGAGTACTCCAACACAAAGAGTTAATGGGCAGTTTTATGCAAAGTTGACTAAAAAAAAAATCCCTGATGAATTTCATTAAAACCATTCTTAAGCCATTCTTAGTAAAACTGTTCCTTAGCAGTGAACAGGCCCATGTTTCTTAGCCAAAGCAAAGAGTACACTCGCTCTGAGAACCACTATTTATCATCCTAGTAACAAATTAGAACAGGGAAAGGAAACGGCTAAGAAAGGAGGCTTAAACTGTGGAAAAAAAAATTCAGCCAACCATGGCAAAGATCAACCTCCACAGATTAGTTCACTCCCTCTTTAAATCCTTTCTCTTCTCACCTTTACAAAGCTAAACATGCATCGATAAACAAATCCCAAAGCCTTTGCAACTCTTGTTTTAACTGAGAGGACACACATCAACAAAAACATGCTAGAAGGTAGGGAGCATATGGCCAGAAAGACCCACCCGACTGCTCCTGCCCAGCAACCTACGAACCAGCATTTTCTACCCAATCCCAGAATCAATCCAAAACATCTACTTGAAAAGAGTTATTCAAGGATGAGTCCCAAATGCTGTAATCAATTCAGGCAAATTCAGAACAATATACGCTCTACACACAACAGCTGATCCCCACCAGTGTCAACAGGTTTACAGAAATCAGAGCGAACATATGGTATCAAAGTAGTAAAGACTTATTTATTTGGTGCTTTAATGTCACATTATTTAATGCAGGAGAAAGTAGGCTGTATTCTAAGCATTTGACACTCCTCCTCTTTCCCAATCTTTTTAATTTCTACTATATCCCAGTCTTTGCTTAGCTTTTGCCTTTGCATTTCTATCTTTGCAGAAGTATTTACCCCTTACCTTTCCTTCAACTCCACTTACTGAAAATAATCATAGCTCTTAGTATTTCAAGATGACATTATCACCAGGCATAGTGGTCAGAGAAGCCAAACTCTTCACATCATCAGGCAGCTTCTAAGCTTCCAGCAATCGTAAGCACCATGATTAACTTCCAAATGTGCAGAGAATATAACATTTGCTGACATAAGGATGGAAAAATTACTTTTAAGCAGTAGAAACAAATTTTAAACAACTTCAGTGTAGCTCACGTATTTCCAGTTCATGGTTGAACCTGGGAACACGTCTCTGTTCAAATGACGTGCTGAAAGACGGAAGCTGTCACATTTTCCCTCAACCACCACTTGCCCGAATTTAATAATGGGAGGGGCTGTCTGAAACTCCTTTAATTAGTCAATTCGTCAATCAGCTTAAAAGTGGAAAAGAACTTCTCCATAATGCACGCATCTAAAAAACAGGGCAAAGGTAAGTATTTTGAAGATTTGTAGTTTTGAAAACAAGTCTGCAGGTAAACCTGATTTCCTATTTATTTTTCATCTTTCTGAAAACCAAAGTGCCAAAAACAAACCGCCTTCTCCTAAATTAACTGCGACTTCCATTGTTTCCACTAAGAGACCACCTATTTCCCTTATTTATAAAAGCCATCCTACCCCTAATGCTAGAAAGAACAACTACGCAGTCACGTGTTTATAGAAACAATGAGATGTGATGACCTCGGTGGGTGTGAAACCAAGTTATATTCAGACAAGCTGCCAGTTCCATATTCTGTGAGGAGCATATGAATATAAGGGACAGAGAGAAAGAGAGCATACGAATGCAGACGACAGTCATTACAAACAAGTGCACCTACAAAAAAAAATATAGGAGAGGCAGAAATGAGGAGAAAGATCTGAGGACTTGTGAAAGACAAAGCCATTGGAGACCTGCAGGGAAAAGGCAAGCGTGAGAAAAGACTGCGTGAAGAAAGAAAGGAAAAAATAAAAAGTAAGAGTAGAAACAAAACATAGTTCATCCACCACAGTCATTCAAGATTCCCCTTACATGAAATCAGCATGGAGAAGTTGACATTTTTTGGTCAGGAACGTAAAGGTAGATTTTGAACCTGAATTAAGACAGCATACAGTGCAGATGAAGAGTTTCCTGATTTCCATCCAAAACCTCAGAAAAGCCACCAGAAGTCAATCTACTTCTAAGCTTTTGAGTTTTTTTTTCTGCACTCAAGTCATAGTTTTCAGTGTTTGCCAAAAAAGCTGCTTCTATCAACAACTTTCGTCCCCTACCCTCTAACTGCCATTTCTCTTCACATCCTTTTGGCTTACCCCACCCACTGAAAAGAAAGTTGTGGGCAAAACGTTCCCAGGTTTAGAAGACAAGTCTTCTTGTGGTTCAGTCTCATTATTTGGCTTATTGCTCAGACTCATAAACTGGGGTAAGAGCAATGCGGTAGGCCAAAAAACCAAACTAAGATGTTAATTATTCACAAATGACACCGCCAGCAGAGTATACTGTGCTAGACTGGGGCGAGAAGGAAACTATAGATGGATACGTTTGTGGGAGGTACAATGGGAAAGGACGCTGGGAAGCCAAACAGAATTAGGTTGTTAGATGTGGTCTGCTGTCAACAAAACCCGGGGTAATGGCTTGTGCTTGGAGGGTCGAGGGGGGTAGGGGTGAGAGCATACATTATAGCGATGTGGCTTAATAGTCAAATTTTAGTTTATTTAGGTTCCCCTCTTAGGGATAATAAGCAGAACTTTTTTTTTTATTTAAGTAGTAATCAAAACCAGAAAGATTCAGTATTCATGTTTAACAAAACAATCTAACTGAAACCGAGTTAATATGAATGCAAGTGCCCAAATCCCTATTTTCATAACCTTCTTCAAGTCATGTAGCATGTGACCTCTGTGGTAAGAATTAAAGCAAGCAATAAATCCCAAATTTTAACTTTCATATACTTGTTGGCAATGCATCTTAAGATTTAAAATATTTAGTGTTTTCTTTTTGGGAGAGTACTGAATCAGAACAACAATATTTTTAACACAGCTGTAAATTTCTGTCCTATATATGCAAATCTTTGTCTTGGGCCTATACAAATTTTTATATCTGTACAGTTCATTTAATAAGGTTGCAAACAAAAAATGGATTTTTTTAATATATTGCCAGTCATCACAGTATTTACAAAAGTTTATAAAATCAGTGGTTTACGTTTATTTACTTCCCTATTTGCATAAAATATTTTAAACTGCTTTAATATTTTCCATGCTAGAGAAGCTTGTTACAAGTGGTACAATCTCTGTTCAGAATCTCTAGGACCATCACACTGTCCTGATATTACCTTTCTATACAATTCCATTTCTGCCAAAAGCTTTCTTTTGAAGTCTGGCAGGAGCTTCCAACTCCCAGTTAAATTCTATTTATTAGACTAATAAAAAACACACACATAAAACAGTCACATAATTTAGAGTCTTTCTGTCAGGCAGTTTCAGGCTCTGGCACATCTCAAAACAATTAGAAGACCAGAAATCAGATTCTACCTTATTTTTGAAGTATACTTCAATGGGCATAATGAAGCCTGCGTAGCCAGACTCCTCCACTTTGTAAGGGGGCTCCTTGCACACTGAAAAGAGAACAGACAAATGTTAACTTTGAATATAACGCAACTTAATCTGAGCCAAAAAGGAGTTGCAAGATGAGAAATGGGCCTCTGACAACTCGGGACACATTTAAAACACCGACCTTTGTGAAAAAACAAAGTAAGATGGTGGCCATGGGCTTAGTTAAGAACATGAAAATCTGTTCTTAGCTCCTCCCAGGGAAAGGAAACATAAAACACTCCACGCCAGAGTCTCCGCAAGATTCTTCCCCCCCTTTTGCAGCAAGATACAATTACGTTTCTGTGCTGTTCCACAACAATGCAAACTGCCAGTTAAAGCTGTCTTGCAAAAATGGCAAAGACCCACAAGGTGGGAATTTGAACAGTACGGAAAGGTAAGATTTACTTTGATGTCAATACTTATTAATCAAAACACTACACCACGCGAGCGGATTTTTTTTTCCTTGAAACGCTCTCCTGCAATGCTCAATCTTCGTAATTACGTAACAGCCATACTACAAGCTGCTTCATCCAAACCTCGTAACAAACCTGAAGGGCAGGTAAGCACTGCTATTTATTTCACATACAAGGAAACGGAGAAAGGTTAAACAGTTCGCTGCTAAGGTCACAGTGCTGCCTACTGCAGAAACATCGGTTACAGAAGTTTATCGCTTCCAAGAAATTAATCTACATGCTTCCTGCCTCAGCTCCCCCATCCCGCTACCTGTTGTAACTTCATGCTGCTGAATCCTTCCTATCGTCTACCACTGCATTTCAGTATAGCGACAGCCGACTCAAAGGATTCTAGGATCATTTATTTGGCCATGACATAGCTATACATAACAGCTGCCAGAAGAAACATGAGACCAACACAGAGATTCTCCCTCTCAGGAACCGGATGCACTTGCATATAATTTATGCAGTACGATATATGTAAATAAAGTCAATTAAGTAATTAGGGGAATTCAGTGCAAATCTTTTTACTTTCTCTAAAGAATTCCAAGTAATTAATATGATTAGGAAACAGTACCTCAAACCTAAAAAGCACACAAATTATTCTCCTTTAATGTACATATATTATCCCTAGCTCTAAGCACTTCTACCATCATTAAGGTGCTAGAAAGCAGTACTCAAAATTCAACTGTGAAAAAAGAGCACATCTAAAAATAATAAAAATCTATAGACTTGCTTTAACTTGAATTTCATATAAAAACCCTATCGTTTAGGGGGAAAAAGCCCAAAACCAAAGAACGGTGCCATTAAGGC